TTTTTTTGTTGAAACAAATACAATGAATAAAAATTCAAAATACTTTGATTGTCTGTTTTACTTTATCATTCATTTCTTTTAACAATTCTCAATTATACTGTTCCGTTTCAATAGCACAATTAATTAGATTTATTAACAAAGCATCAATAATGAAAAAAAAGTTGCTAGACAGTCTGTCTTTTTTTTTTTTTTGGCAGCTTAATAGCAGTTGTGAAAACAACAGTTCAGATATGTTCAACAATAACACATCTGCTGATAGTTTGACGGAAATTAGTTTAGTTAATTACTGCAACAATGGCATCAGGAAAAGAAGTTTATTGAACAAAAGCAAAAAGGCAACATACGTACATTAATTCAAAAAAGAAACACTTTTCAGAATCTTTTCTTTTTTTTTTTTTCTATCTGATAATTCAGCTTTTTTTTTCCTCTGTTTTCTGCTTAATGTTTCTTTTAGGTTTCTGTATTTTTAGAAAACATTACATTGATTTATAAAATTTGAACAAAATGTTTAATGTCACAACTGTGACTGTTCACTGAACAGTCATTTATTCAGTTCTGTAAATATATAGCAATCAACAAAAAAAAAAATGCAACAGAAATAACAACAATGACCAAAAAAAACCCCTATAAATTTAGATGTCAGTTAGTCAACAAAAAAAAAAAAAGTTATCAGTTTTCGTTTAAAACCCTTTCAAAAAGCAATTTTTATTTTCTATTCTTTTCAAAGCCTAAAAATATAAAGAAAATTTGAGCAGAACTAAAATAACACAAAAGCTAATGATTTGTAAAACAATGAAATATGCGTTAACAGAAAAAAATGTTGCTTATTCCACCTCCTCATATTTGCTAAGTCTTTCTAAGTATTTTACTGTTTTTATCTTTCTATTTTTATTCTTTTTTTTTTTTTCTTTTTTCAACACCAACAGAAGCAAAAGCAATCATGTTGAATGTATGAAAAATGTAATTATATTATAGGCTTAATAAAATAACGATCAAGGTTTTATTAGGCAAAATTTTCTCATTGAGCATAAGTGTAAGAAGAAAAAAAAACAAAAAAAAAAAAAAAACTGCTAAACATAGAATTAATATAAGCTTAATTTGATTTATTTAATCAAATATAGGTGAACTGATAAGCTGCTGTTTTGAAAGCAACAATTTAGAAATTGGCTTACTAAATAAAATTTGTCAATTGCACACCGAAGAGTTGCCGGTGTTTAACAAACTAACAAAAATAAGTTCTTTCCAAGAAAGAAATACCGTTTAGACAAAATTCTCAAACAGTATTAAATCCACAAATTCAAAAAAATTTTTCTGGTGTTTTTTTGTTGCTTTCCTAAACACATACAATTATTACAAAAAAACAAATCCCAAATACCTCTTATGCTTGTCAGTAAGTGAAAAAAGAAGAAATTTCAAATAAAAAGCGCACATACTATTTGACACTGAAACACATTGAATCTTCACGAAATAAAGATAGAATGACAATATACAGATGAAATTATAAATCATATTTTGAAAAAATAGACTGTAGATAAATATTTTACAAGTGTTTTTTTTTTTCTTTGTGCTTTTACTATAGTTGGTATATTTGAAGGGATTTCATCAATTTATTATAAAATGACACCAACATATGGTCTTTCTGCATATATCGTTTACTTTTTTCAACCATTAGCCAGTTTTTGTGTCACCTGTACAATATGGCAAGTTTCAGTGATCACCACTGAACGGTAAGTGCTTGGAAAAGATGTAGTTTCAAGTTAATTAGTTAATGTTACTTTATTTACTTGTAAAAATGTAATTATTTAGAAACATCTCTTGGAGTAAATTCAATATTTTAAGTATAAAAAAGAAAGCAAAAGTTATTGTTGCTAAGATTTTGTCTTTTGTTAGTTGGAGGAAATTTTTTTTTTCTTTCTAGATGGATGGCTGTATCGCATCCGTTTATTCATCAAAGTATGAAGGATCGATTCAAATTAAAGCTGATATGCTTTACCACTGTTATCTGTTCATTTTTGCTAAATATTGTTACAATACCGGTGGAACGAGAGCTCAGAAAATGTCTTAAAGTTGAAGTAAAAAATCATAAAGCTGTTCTGTCTACCAGTATACAACTTGTACAAAAAGAAATTATGAGTAATCTTTATTACGCTATTTGTAAGTCTTCTTTTTATTTATCTGAATTTTTTTTTATATTTAAAAATTGCAATTATTTGAAAAAGATACCTGAACATCGTCTGTATCTAAAAAACAGTCTACAAGTCTATAATGTTCTACAAATTCTTTCAGTAATACATGTCTGATAAGCAAGAAAAAAAACAAAAAGAAAAAGTTTTTTTTTCAGTCGTCTACCTGATACCAGATTTGTTGTTTCGAGCGCCGGTACCAACGATACTAATCGCTGTGTTAACCGCTCGAACATTGCTAATTTATAAAAAACGGCGTGTCAACTCCACTCGTGTCAATATACATCGCTCAAAAAGTATTCCATTTATGCTTACTGTAAGTGTTTTTCAGCATTTCATCAGCTGAAAGATGGATGAAATAAAAAACTGATTACTGACTTGTTCCGCATAGTCTGAACAGCAAAAAAAAAGAAAAAAGTGGAGTAAAACCATTAATGTTTTGTTGTTGTCGCTTCTCTATCACTGAGGTTTCACAATTTTATCGCTATTCAATCTGAAAGGCGAATATTTTAATGAAGAAACAACCCTAATTACTGATTTTTTCTATGCTTTATATAAAAATAAAAGCTGATGACTTTTTCTTCCTTCATTGTTGACACTTTATCTTCTTTTTCTGAAAATTTCAGTTTTTTAACATGCAAAATTATAGCGCATAATAATTTTTTGATTTTCTATTGCTGCAACTCTCTGTTTTATCAAATCAACACTGTCTACTGAAAACTTTTATGAAGCACTAAAGAAGGTTTTAAAAAAGTATATCCTGTTTTTATTTTCTTGTTTTTTTTTTGTCTTCTAATAAGTAAGAAAAAGTTCAAATAGAGAAAACTTATTATTATTTA